ATCAGCTGTTTAACCTCATCAGATACATTGTAAAGTGTAGATAACTTCTAAGTTCTTTTTCTCCCATGTGGATACGAAATAAAGGTAGTACGTACCGAATACGACAACAAAAGGGAAAATAATAACTACAGGAACTACAAGTACTAAGAAATATTCATTTTTTATTCAGTAAAAACTGTATGTGACCTATGGGGGAGATCATTTGCCCAAGTGTTCTTGAGTTCCAGAATCCCTTTCCAACATTTTAACTACAAATGGTTGAAAGGTGAATAAAAGTAAAATAATAATAATAATAAAATTTAGAAAAACACGAGATCAGCAACATTTGAAAAACTAAACATTTTCGTTCCCAAGTTATAGAAAATTCATTTGCACCGCCATCGGTAAACGAACTGCAAATTTGATTTTTCTACATTGCGAACAAAATAGTAACTCGACTCCAGAGAAGAAGAATGAATATTTATTAAGAAATAAAGATACAGAAACTAGGAAATAAACTATGCTAACTCAAACCACCATAACCCCACACCAGATTATAATGCCAAGTACTCCGAAACTGAAATGAAATATAGAATATAAGGAATTAATTAAAGGTTCACGTTGGTCCGCATTGGTTCCCAGCGTCATTCTCGCTCACAGCCTCTTGAATCACTCTCAAATATTGTGTGTTTAGCTGATTTGCGGAGTAAATCGGAAAGTATGTACTCTAGAGTAAAATAACCCTCTAGAAGCATGGTGAAATGCTCATATTCTACTCGAGAGTTACTATCTAAGAGTAAATGGTTCTTCTCGGGTCACTACTCTCAACTTTACTTGGCTGTTGGTGAAACCGGCCCTTACACTTACACTCGTACTTGCACTACACTACCATACTCTCCGGGGGACTGGTAGGCAGCTAAGTGCTGGTTCCGGTTGAGGCGGTGCCCCGCTAGAGGGTGGGAGAAAGCTTGGAGAAAAACCCGCAAGCCGACAGGTAGGTCGGCATCGGATCTCGCCATCCAACAGGGGAAAATATCCGCCACCTCCCGCGCAATAAAACATGCATTACATGTACGAGACTAATAAACTTAGTTGTCAGCTTAGAACTGTTGACGCGCCCAGAATCATCAGTCAACCAATCAATCATGATGTAGAGCCTGTGATTATAAAGGGAGAAACCAAAGCCAGGAGGATTGTGCAAAAGCACTGTAGTTTACAAATGTAAAACAATGCAATGTCTATCTCCAGTCACACAATTTCAGGCGTCTCAGGTCAAGATGAATTGTTATACGAAGATCCCAAAGCTGCTTATACGCAACATTTCGTTGTTTATTGACTAGTTTAAAAAAAATATGAATGAGTTTTTATCCTTTTTAGAGTAGTATTACAGAAAATACATAATCTTATTAGAAAAATTTCAATACTTGTTTCTTAATTTTCTTTCAATACTTGTTTCGAATTAAAGTGCTTCAAGATTATGGAATAGATCAGGACAACCTAAATTACATCAAGGGGATATGGAAACACGATATGATAG